GGTTTTTTTGAACTGTTTGCCGTGAAATTCCGTGACAACCGGGCTGTGTTTTTGTAGTGTGTATTAGATGAGAACTTTCTCTTGCTTGTTTTCCAGTTGTGCTACTCACCATTAATGATTTTTAGTCATATTTTGATCAATCAAGTCTGTAGTCATATAATGGGAAATCTTCTCACTTTTGATAATAATGCGGTAAATTTCCTTAAAATTAAAATTGATTGAACTATTTTTAACAAAGCAAGTTTCATTATTATATTAATGACAAAAAGCCATTGTATATCATACATTCAAAAAATGATTGATGTACATTGATAAATAAATATAATTATTAGGTAAATATATAAAGTTCAAAAACCTTTCCAATCTCTTTCAATTTACAGTATGAAATACCTTTATAAATTATAACCTTTATATAAAAAAAAGTACATGAAAAACACTAAAAGATTGATCCTAACTAGGATTCCTAGGTTTCTTGTTTTCCAATTTCACCTTTCTATAACTTTATTTATTACTTAATCTATTTCAAACAAAAAATACCTAAAAGAAAGATCGATACAAAACCCCACTTTATTTTTTTTAATCCTTCACGCTAATCCAAATAAGCAAAACTACGTATGGACTATGGATATTAGTTGAGAAAGAATAATCTTGAGGAGAAATGACAAAAAAGAACAAACAAGCACCAAGAAAAATATAAGGTCTTGGAAAAATGGGTAAGCTAGAAAGAAAGCGGAATAGCTACGAATTCATTCGGTAGTTGCACCATCTTTTTCCCACACCGAATAATATAGCAAAGTACTGTCCAGCACTGGTTATATAATGAACCAACTTAACTTCACAAAACTCAAGAAGCCATGCGTTGAACACAAAGCGAACTATTCTTTCGCCTTTTACCAAAGAATACCGTGTGCACGGCGCAATAAATGGCATACTCCCATTTTTGGAATGGTGACTTCCTCTTGGAAGGCACTACACAAATTTAGTAATAATCTTCCTTGTATCAATGCATTAGCTCTTTAATCTTGTGATAGTTCTTCGAGGGCTGCTGTTTGATGTTGTTATTGCATTATTCATGTAGGTTCTCGACGTGATAAATTGGGTTTATAGTGGCTTCTCAAAGACTCAAATCAATGATACAGTTATTAAAAATTACATATTAATTAAAAATGCTGATAAAAGTATATTTTGAGAAATAAACTTGATAGGTATATAATCTAGTGAAATTAATAATGATAATTGTGATTGTTGGTCCAAAATAGGACGCTCGTAGGCTTTTAGGAAAGCTACGTACGACACTCAAGCAAGAATTAGGAAAGTACGAATATGGAAAGTTAGCCAGAAATAGCATATCTGTATTTGAAATTTGAATTGCCTTTTATAGGCGATTACAAATGGTAACTGCCGAACATAATAATGACTAAATTAATTACAACATTAATACGGAATTAAACACATAATTAAGTCGCGCATTGATCGTTGGCCGTTACTTTTCCTGGCTGGCAGGCTGGACGCTTGAGCTCCCTCCTGCTGGACTGGACGGTGGGCTTCCCGCTAGGCTGGAGGAAGGCTTCTGACCGGGCTGGAGGCAGGCTCCCGGGTAGGCTGGAAGGCAGGCTCCCCGTTGGGCTGGAGGCAGGCTCCCACCTGGGCTGGACCGCAGGCTCCCAGTTGGGCTGGATCGCAGGCTCCCAGCGGGGCTGGTGGTCGGCAGGCTCCTGGCTAGACTGGAAGGCAGGCTCCCCACTGGGCTGGAAGGCAGGCTCCCCACTGGGCTGGAAGGCAGGCTCCCCATTGGGCTGGTCGACAGGCTCTCTTGGGCTTCCGCTCCTTGATCGCCCTAATTGGTTGGGCCGACTCGAGCTCTAGGTTGTTGGACTTGGGCCCGCTGGTCCGAGTTCGGGGCCTGGGCCGATTAGGCTCTGGGCCTGGTCCCATAACCCCATCAGTGATGTTATAAATGTATTATTGTTAAGGATAACTACGGAAAATGTACATATGGTTGGACCTGTTTTCATATATGTCTCATTTTTTAACAATGTGAGCCTTGTGTTTAAACTCCATAATCACGAGAGGGTCCTGACGTCAGATGCCGTTAGAAATCGCCGGAGGAAGATGATGAACAGTAACCAAGAGGAATTATTCTCAATTTCCACAACGGCCCACACAATCGGATACATTTGATTATTTGTGTCCCTTCCAACGGCTGTAAGAATTTCTCCTTTGAGCTGCCCTTTAAGAAAAAAACCATCCACCCCAATTACCTGTTTACACCCATTAAGAAATCCATTTTTCACTGGTCCAAATCATATGTAAATTCTCTGAAACATACATGGACCATCAGGGACAACCCTCACAGTCTTAACAACAACAGTGCTCCCAGGTATTGACTTCAAGCACTCCTCAGCATAATTCCTAACTCTCTTAAACTGATCTTTAAATGCAGACTTTGTCTTTTCTTGTATTCCCCTTACGGCTCTAGTAGCCATGCTAATAGAAATATTAATGTTTAGTTCTGCTTTAACTAAGGTTTTGAACTCTACAGCACCAATGCATGGATTTTCAGTGACCTTGTCTTCAAATCTTTCCTCTAACCATTTTTGGCTAACGATCTTCAGTTTGAACTTAGAATTGCACAAATGCTCACTTTTCAACACCTTCACTTGAAAGCATTTCAGACGCCTCTCCCAACTGGCAGTACAACGAAAAGGACAGGTGACACCACACTTTACCCTTACCCTTGTAGGCTCATTTTTAATAAAATGAATGTCTTTTTTGTTATGCACTGCATACCGTATGATAGCATCCTTAAACTGCCTACCATCTTCAAAGAGCATGGCCAAATCTATTAAAGGAGGATCAGATTGAGGGTTATATGAAGAATGGATGGGTTTCTTTCTTTTAGGCTTAACAACTCCACTTTCTGACTCCTCATCTGAGTCCAAGCTACATGGATTATCTGAGTCATATTCTGTACTACAGTACTCAGAATCAGAACTGCCCAGCTCTTTTGTGCCACCTTCTACCTCTTCATTATCACTCCTTGTACCTTCATCAACAATCTCAACATCTGATGCATACGGCACCTCCCAAAGTTCTTCATCCTCTAAATCAACCCCACGGAAGTTTGTAGGAGTAGTGTCTTCCATTTATTCATTCACTGCACTAGCACCATTGTCCATCTCTTTATATTGTTCTTCCTCTTCAATGGATTGTTCTTCTTCTTGATGTTGTGAACCAGTTCCCTCAGTGCTATCATTTTGTATGACTGGAGCAGATCCCTCTGGTACATTTGCTGGTGATTTTTCAGCATGTGGTGCAGGTAAGGGGAGGACATCTACCAACTCAACCTCATCCAAACCATGTTTTATATACACATCACATTTTCCATACCTTGTAGCTATATCTATTAAGTGCAAGGTTGACTCGTCATTGAACAGCTCATGTAGAGTCCTCATAGGGTCAGTGACTTTCTTAAAATAAAGAGCTTGAATATTTCCATACTTCCCAGATTTGAGGAATTTCATCAGATGAGGGTAACATATCAAATCAGGATCTGTTTCCACGTTACTCACTTCTCCTCCCAGGTACATACATGTGGGGCTGGTAATGAATGTCCCCCCATGATGAATTATTAGTTCAACCCTGTCAAACATTCTGAAAAGCACGTGGTTGGTTGGTATGACTTCTAGTGAGCATATAAAGATTAACATGATATAGCTTACTCTAATCACATAATAAAGAACATAACGACATCAAAAGGAATGTAAGCACTGATTCTGCCCATTAAATGTTCAACAAATCAACAAACAAACCAATCACAAATGGGTCCCAAAGGTTAATGTACCGTTCCAAAGTTCTCATAGAAGTAAACATACATACCTGTAATGCGCATAACTAAATGCGAGAAGTAATGTCAACCACCCACGCGTTGTCCTCTCTAGTTCATAGCCGACTCCAAGAACGTGAAACTTAGGGTTAAAGTAATTTGGGGGGGGGGGGGGGGGGAATGGTCGTTGAAGCTGGGTTATAAGAAATATAAACGACGCTTACAAAATGCTTACATGGATAATTGCAGCCACATCACTACCCATGTGAGCAATTAACCGGCAAATCGGGAGCACACCGACTAAAATGTGATTTTTGTTTTTTTTTTAAGTTGGGGGATTTAATTGGGGGATATATAATTAAGTAGGAGGGCCTAATTGACGTTTTTTCAATAGTACGAGGGCCTATTTGATAGTTTTCCCTTTATGGAATGAATTTTTATATAAATTTCAGAACAAGAAATTTATGCAGAACGGGGTGGGAGTTGTTGATGTGGTGCATTGTGTGCGGTGACACAATTGGGAAGGTTTAGAGATTTTCGCAAAGAAAAAATGGGCCAAACAATTGGATCAATTTGAATAGCCTGTTAGTTATATTGAAATTGATTGAATTGATTCAATCTGTTCAATTTGACAAAGTTTAATTGAAGCGACCACACTGGCTGAATTTGTTTAATTATAGAAAAAAATATTTAAAATATCTTTTATTTATAAATTAAAGAAAAAATTAGAAATATTTTAAAACTATTCCTGAAATAAAAACTATTTACAAAAAATTGCTGAAATAAAAGTAATTTACAAAAACAGGACTAAAATTAATATGGATATAATGTCATGGTCACATGATGTGAAAATTGAATATAAGTTACGTGAAAAAGTAACTACTATAGTCACTACATTTAAGAGGTCATGTTTCACAAACAATCTTTATTTTAGTCATAGTCATGTAGTTGTCTCAGAAAATTATAGACGGGTCTTGATCAGTAACGATACACTTAGGTGCGTGTCCCATTGCATTTAGAAAACAACGGAACAACCAAAAATATGATTCAATGTCTTCTTTAAATAGAAGACCGGCACCAAATGTGACACATTTTTTGTGATTGTCGACACCGGTGAAAGGTGCAAAAACCATATTGTATCTGCAAAGAAAACTGCGTTAAGCTGATGTGCGAAGCTAGAATTTATTAAAGTATGTGTGCATAGAAGCAGAAATCGGTGTGCATAACATATTAAACGGATGAATAACATATTTTTGAAAGTAAACACCAATTAAAGAAGTAAATTAGTTGAGCACAAAATAGTGCTTACGAGTGCATGCAGTTACATGTTTATAAAATAATCAAATGTTTGAAATTAAACATGGGTTTAATAATACTAATTAAACACAAATAAAGAAATGTGCAAAAATTAAATTACAAAAGTGTAGAACCTGTTAGTCCCATATGTAGCATCGAAAAAAGCACATCTTCAAAAAAATCACTCTCATCAACGTCATACTCAAAAATATATGCTGAACAAATTTCTTGCTTCCGAAAAGCTTATCAATTAGCATTTGAGCATCCACGCCGGAAATATATGCCTTCAAATCTCGCTTAAAGTTCTTGAAATCAACCGTCGTTGCACCAATATTGCAATATCCTCCAACAGTTTCATTGTACAGTCGGTATGATTTCATAGTTCCTATATTAGCCTTTGCACAATTGAGAACAAACTTTTGATGACCAAGATCAAGCTTCCTGTTTACTTTAAGAAACGGTCTGGCATCAAGAGACGACATAGGATGATTGTGGCGCTCTTCAAATAACGTAATAATCTTATGTGCTTTACAGCCAACACGGTTTGATACACGGTGATGCCTCTGTTTTTTTTTTCGGTGTCGGGAATAGCATGGGAGGATTCTGGATGCTCTGGAAAAACGTGAGCCTCTGTATCATCATTTGAACATTCAGTGTGTTCATCACTAACAACACTAAAAGGCATAACATGACTAGTTTCTGGAGGATTGACTTTAGCAATATTTTTGAAACCAGCTCTATTGCACACAACATATTTCCACACAATGGTGTTCGTCCTCGGCCGGCGATGCTTAGTTTGAGAACCAATACGAGAATCGAAGCCACAACAAGCTGCATATTGCTTATAAAACTCAATACCATCCTCGAGGGTTTTGAATACCATGTCAAGCTTTGGTTTAAATGATTCATCACATTCCGGGATCCAATACTTAGTTAATCCAGGAGAAATTTCTAAAGCTTCTACAAGAGTGAAAAAAACAAACATAAACGATGAATGACATTGGTTCAAGAAAACAAATGAAACAAAGAAACACGTAGAACAAAAGAAAGGAAGTTAAAAAACATACCTTTGTCTATTAATGGAGCTTCGGAGTTTTTGGGGAGGAAGAGACAGTCGTAGAGAAGCTGGAATTCACGTGCATGGAATGGCCGGATGGCATCCATAACTGAAAAGGAAATAAGTAAGACCTAATTAATTGACAAACAATCATGGAAAGAAACAATAGAATGGGTCTTGGCCGGGTACCTATGTACAAAAAGAAAAAAATGTCACAATGACCATCATGGCCTGCCCATTCTCATGTTAGAATTAAAAACAATGAGTTGATCTAATGGCCTGGATTGTTTCTTATTTATCTCATTAGATGGTGTTCTTATTTGAACCAAACTCTCTCTCTCTCTTATAATATGTGTCACAATTATTCGTGCATCACGAGAGTGAATTACTAACAAAACATTTTACTAAAAGAAAGGATTTTAACAGGGCGTAGTGCGGAACAGAAGGTGTTAATTCCCGAGTATTGCTTAAAACCTTCATATGTCAGCTTGACATTCCAATTCCGGATACGACAATACCCTAAAATGACTTAATATGTCATTATCGCGTGTTGGTTTGTTGTTCAAAAAACATGTTTAACCATGATTAACTTTACGTGATTGTGTCTAGAGTAATCAATGATAGAGGAACGAACATTGAAACAAACATTTTTGTGTACAAAGAAGTGTTTCTTATCATTTAGCATTACATTATGTGTGTTTCAAATTATATTTATAACGCATCACTGTGTGCTACTTACCATTTTATGGTGTTATAAAAATTTGTGTACTACTCCATAATCAACGATAAATCATTATTAGACATGTTTCATGGATATATCAAGTTTTAATTGATTAGGGGGTATAATACTAAATGATTAAATTAGAGTTACAAATTTGCATTTTTATACACATGATACATAAATCGTAATTTGTTTTTTATACACATGAAATTTCACCAACCGTGCATCGCACGGAGATTTGTATGTTGCAGTATCAAGGGTTACCAATCCTTGTGGTTTGAAAGTTCTAATTGTTGATGAAGATGAAGAAACCACTGACAAGTCTCAGAATGTTGTATTCAAAGAAGTGTTCAACAATGTTTAGGTTTACATGAAATACATATTTACAATGTTATGGTTTCTACGTATTTGTTGGATGTTTTTTATCTTTTAAGTAATGGTTAGTGCTCTCTTTTAACCATAATATTATAAGTGTGTTTCATTCATTGCTTTGATCTACAACAATATTCCATAGAGACAGATGTTGTCATTAATTGATAGTATAATTTGAATCAGTGAGCACAAATAAATTTGAAAGAAAAATTCTTTGATCGTGCATCGCACGGGTGAGTTTACTGGTAAAAGTAAAAACACATCCAAAATCTCCAAATAGGTGTACATGTTTTAAATCGTTAAAATATGAGTCACAATTACTTCTCTGCCCCTTACTGTTTATCAACCATCTTAGAGTTTAGAATTAGACTTTCTAGTGTTTACGACATATCCACTTAAACCTTAGCTGTGGCTGCTTGACGGAGCTGACAGCGGTCGACGTCTGTTGAGAGTTGGCGGCGGCGGAGATGGCTGCCCGATGGCGGAAGCTGTACCAAAAGGTATTTTTTTGAAAGTTATATACTACAATTTTATTCTGGGAATTTAGAACTTCTTATCACATGTTAATAGTCTTCTTACAATAGTCTCACATTACCGTAATTCAGAAATAATCTCATCTTTGCACCATATCCTCTGTCATCGGTCCCTCACCAGTTGAGGACACGATATTTCAGGCTATTCTCTTTTCTTTTAAAAACATTAAACCATAAATCTCACATTAGCGAATCTTCTCCAAACGATCTCACATGCCATTTTTCTTTTTTCTACCTAAAAGTTTTCTCTTTGTATTTTTATCCTCTTGACTCTTCTATTCCTTTTTTTGTCTTTTTGTTCTTAATTTTATTTCTGTTTCATGTTATGTATTCCATTTGCCTTCTTTTTCTTCTTCCCATTTATTATTTTATTTCCGTTTTTATGTATTTTTTCGGATTAGTTCCCTTCTTATACAAGATTTTTTCTCATGTTACTAACTTTTTAGTTTACTTTCTTTTTACTTACACTTATTTAAACAAAGTATATTAGTCGTGGAATCAAGGTAAGAAAAGAAAAAAAGAAAAAAACTCTTAACATTCAAGGTAAAAAACAATTATTTCTGAATTACGGTTACATGTGACCATTGTAAGAATACCGCTAAAATTCTAAAATGGAAATCGAAGACATATAAAAGCACAGTGGAAAGACTAAATAACTCTTAACATAACTTACTCTTTGGTATAAACATAAGCGATGAAATAAACTACTCCCTTCGTTTCGTAGAATGATTCTCACACGGTTTACGGTGTTTGACTAATCATAAAGTTAATTGATCCCTATCCGTGATTAGTTTTTTTATATTAGAAACTACATTAATAGTTTCATAAAGTCATAAAAGAAAAACTCAAATTTCATAAATCTTGGATATATAAAGTAAAAGATTAAGAAGACTTTAACTTTACAGGAGAATAGTGGACGGGAACCTTTGAATGAGACGGATGTTGTATATCTTATACATTCTGTAACAATTAGAATGTTAGAGTTGAATAATCCGAACACGAACAAATTCTGTAATAATGACATGGACTAATCAAATGCACTGAGAGACACACTTTATTATATGTGGTACAATAAAATAAAAGAATTGTTTTATAGAAACATAAGTAATAGAAATTAGTCAACTTCTCATGTTTAAGCTACAAATGATAATCATGTATATTTAAAAAAACATTGTTATATGTGTGTACAATAAAATAAATGAATTGTTTTATAAAAAATAAATAATAGAAATTACTCAACATTTCCAGTTCTAACTACAAATAGTAATCATGTGTATAGAAATAGACATGAGTTAAACTACAAGCTTCAATGAAGTGAGTCTGAAGCGGAGTAATATTGTGTTTTTTGAGAATAAATGTATCGGTGTGGTACATATAGAGATTAATCAATAAACGTGATTGGAAGGCTATGCTCATCTCAAGGATGTGATAAGCATTGTTAGGTCAATTAATCAGAAGAGGATTGTACGTGAAAAGCTAATATTGTTTAGTCAATTCCGTATGATGACGAGCATGTTTATTGTAATCTCTCTCCATTGTTGCACGTGTTTACGTTTTCTTTTACTATTGACCACTGATTAAATTTAGAGATTACATGAACATTGATTAATAGTAAAAGTTTACGGTAGTGTTGTAGAGGTTATACCCCCTTTGAAAAACCCCAAGTTAATGAAGCCCCAAATGTTGATTTTTGGTATACTTTAGAATATATAACTAACTATTATACTTTGTAGGTGACTAACTTGACTATCAAACAATCCCTTATAAATTTGTCAAGTTTGTGAGACTCGATGAATAAGAAATAAAAATCATGTGATTAATAAGAATCACAAATCAATTACTCTAGATTGAAAATGATGAAGTTTTAGTGCAATCAGGAAAGGAAAGTGAACAAAGTTTAGAGAAATGCGGACATCATAAGTTTACAAACGTGAGATGAAAGAGATTAGACATTGAGTTTAAACAAAAAAAGCACGTGAAAAAGATATGAAAATGATTTTATAAATAGCTGTTTTTTTAAATTACATTAATTGATACATTTGAAAATGGATGGATCAAATACTTAAAAGCCTTATGTTTTAAGACTTGTTAGATTACTTTAGAAATATTATATTGATAAGTATGTTAGATTGTTGAAAATCTATTTAATTTGTGTTTCAATTCATTTATGGTTGGTTGATGTTAAGGAAATTTCGCGCTAATTTGTTTGATTCTGTGTTGTCTTACACAACAGATTCGGTAAATTACTCTGGTGCCCTTTAAATATTTTCCCTACCACAACAAACTTACAAAATTCATTTAAAATTATTATATAAATTAAGACAGATCAGAAGCATCATAAAATAAATAAAATTAAGAGAAAATTATTTCTCATATGACTAAAGGAGTATTTATATATCAATCTATGACCTAGTCGTGTTTCCCTAATTTGGTAAGAGAATGACAACTCACGTTCCATATGTCATTACAAAAAAACATCCGTTTTGTCACGGAAGTTTGTCACAGATCTGAGCCGTGACAAAATTGTCACGGACATTGTCACGGAAAAGCTTGATTTGTCATGAAGATGGTTTGTCACGGACAAATTCGTGACAAAATCCGTGACAACTCTTTGTCACGGCTTTTCATCCGTGACAACATTCCTCCGGTTACCGGCAATTTACTCCGGCCAACGTTTTTTCACTTCCGGGCGTTTGTGACAAACCCCAATAATTAATACTCCAACGATCACATTTTAAAGTTGTATGAATAAGTGTTTGTCACGGATTTATCCGTGACAAAATCCGTGACAAGTTATATATATATATGGCAGTGTAGTTTCATTCAATTGATTGCATACGAGTTAAAAATCAATGAGACTACGATACAATATATGTTGAAAGATTGAAGGATGTAATCTATCAGTTTATCATTTCCCGTGTTTATGCAAATAAGGTATATCATTTGAATAATGTATTTTTTTAATAAGTATTAATTTTTTTATTTTAAATAATTAAAATTGTTAAATTAGTGAGGTTGTTAATTTATCAACAATATATTTAACTATAAACGTAATTTAGCTAAATTTAAATATTAGTAAATTGAAATGGGATTATAAAATTATTAGGTTTGTTTATTAGCAATTATTTTTAATGTCTAATTTAGGATTTATAGTGATTTAATTAAGTTAGAATTGAAACATTAGTTTAGTGTGAATTATTATTGTCAATTACTAATATTTAACAATATTAGATAAATGTAAATTAACATAGTTAAATTAGTGAACTTTAGTTCCGCTACAATATTAGTTAAATGTAAATATTAGTGTGTGTAATATGCCCAGATTTCAACAGTCGAATAATCTAATAATAATTGAAAGAATTATAACAATAGAAGAGAAATTTCACCAATAACGTATACCGTGTATATAGAATGATGAATCAATGAAGAACAATACACAGTACTCGAACAAGCTAGAGAGAGAATTTCTAGTCTACGTGCTCT